TTTAATAAAGTAAATTAGAACTGAATGAATGCAAAAATGCAAGCAAATTTGCTTGCATTAGTTTATAATCTAAGAGATACTATTACCTAATTCTAATACTAACTCTAATATAGACTGAATACTTAATTATGTGATATTATTATCATGAAGATATCACTAAATTCCTTGATTTTCAAACTTCTACAGAAATATCAACACAGCTAATACTTTGTTAATAAAGTGCAGTTTTCTATTATACTTTTATTAATATTATATTTTTTTTATAATAATAATTATCTCTGTAATTTTATAAGTATGAATATATTTTACTTACTATCTTCCCTACTTACCCACTCTTAATAATAGTCTTAACTTCACCACTACCTCCTCCACTTATTTGCTCTTTAAAATCAAGAATATTATGAATTATTATATGATAAATAAGTATTATATATATATATAATATAGTTAATGCTTATTTGTCATATAATAATTCATAATATGCTCACTTTTCATAAAGTGCGAATGCTTTTACAGATTTGATGAATTATTATATAACAAATAATTATTTACTAATTAATTGAATTAATAAATATTTATTTATTATATAATAATTTATTATATTATTATTATTACCTAATTTTGAGTTCAATAAACTCAATTCAAATTTAAATAAACTCAATTTAGATTCAAATAAACCTGATTCAGATTCAACAAACCTAATTTAGGTTCAAATAAATCTAATTCAGATTTAACAAACCTAATTCAAATTCAAATAAACTCAATTCGGATTTAATAAATTCAATTTAGATTCAAATATATCTAATTTAAAAAAATAAAAAAAAATACAAGTAAAAAATCAAATAAAAAAATAAAAATAAAAAAATTAAATTTTAAAATTTTAAAAAATAAAAAAATAAAAAAATTAAATTTTAAAATTTTTTTAAAAAAAATAATAAAATTAAATTTTAAAATTTTAAAAATAAAAAAATAAAAAAACTAAATTTTAAAATTTTAAAAAAATAAAAAAAAATTAAATTTTAAAAAATAAAAAAAAAAAATAAAAAAAAATCAAATATAAAAAAATTAAAAAATTAAATCTTAAAAAATAAAAAAAAAAATAAAAAAAAATTAAATATAAAAAAATTAAAAAATTAAATTTTAAAAATAAAAAATAAAAAAATTAAATTTTAAAAATTTAAAAAAAAATTAGTTTTAAAAAATAAAAAAAAATTAAAAAAATTAAAAAATTAAATTTTAAAATTTTAAAAAAAATAAATTAAAAAAATAATTTTTAAAATTTTTAAAAAAAAATAAAAAAAAATAAAAAATTAAATTTAAATTTTAAAATTTTAAAAAATAAAAAAAAATTAAATTTTAAAATTTTAAAAAATAAAAAAAAAAAAATTAAAAAATTAAAAAAAAACCAAATTATTTAATTAAAAAAATTTAAAAAAATAAAATAAAAAAATTGTAAGATAAGTTTAAAAAAATTAAAATTAAATAAAATAAAAAAATTAACTTAACAAAAAAATAAATAAATTAAAAAAAAAAAAACAAATTATTTAATTAAAAAAATAAATTAAAAGAATAGTAAAATAAATTTAAAAAAAATTAAATAAAATAAAAAAATTAACTAAATAAGTTTAAAAAATCAAAATTAAATAAAATAAATTAAATTAAATTAACTTAACAAATAAAAAAATCAAATTATTTAATTAAAAATAAATAAAAAATAGTAAGATAAAATTAAAAAAATTAAAATAAAAAAATTAACTTAACAAATAAAATATTAAAAAAAACTAAATTATTAATTAAAAAAATTTAAAAATCTAAAAAAATAAACTATTTAGTATAAAAACTAAAATAAAATAAATTATTTATATTAATATATATAATAATAAAAACTAAAATAAAATAAATTATTTATATTAATATATATTGTAATAAATAAAATAAATTATTTAAAAAAAATTTTATTTATTTAATTTAAAAAAAATTATTTATTTAATTTTATAAGTATATTAAACTTTATATTTTATAAATAATAAGAAAATAATACTAATTTTTAAATTTTTTTATTAAAAATTCTAAAATTCTATATCTTTTCTTTAAAATTAATAAATATAAATTAATAATATATTTTTTTAATATAGATTTTTGTGTAAAATTAGATTACTTAAAACATAAAAATAAAATTTATTAATAAATTTTGAAAATTTTAAAATTTTCAATAATTTTATTAATAAAATCAAGTTTACTAAAATGTACCATAGGTGTTGAACACCATGTCACACAAAGCTATTAGAATAGCCAATCAAAATTTAAGATCAGGTATAACCTAAAATTTTATTTTTTTGCTTATTTTTTCAAAAAAATAATAATATCTCAAAATTTTGCTTATAAAATTACTTTTGAAGCTCTAATTAAAAAAATTCCTTGCTAAATTTTGCATATATTAATGTTTAAATAAAATTTTAGGTCTCACCCTAACCCTAAAATAATTAAAAGTTATTTTTTGTTTTTATAAAAATTTATTTTTTTGGTTTTGTTACAAAATAATACTATGGTGTTAAACACCATAGGTGCATTTTATAATTTTTCAATAAAATTATTGAAAATTTTAAGATTTTCAAAATTTTATTAATAAATTCTATTTTTATTTTCTAAATAATTTTGTTTTAAGAATAAAATTATATCATATCAGTATATTAAACTTTAAATTTTATAAATAATTAGAAAATAATACTGAATTTTAAATTTTTTATCAAAAATTCTAAAATTCTAAATCTTTTCTTTAAATTAATAAATATAAAATAATAATATATTTTTCTAATGTAGATTTTGGTGTAGAATTAGATTACTTAGAGCATAAAGATAGAATTTATTAGTAAAATTTTAAAAATCTTCAAAGTTTCAATAATTTTATTAAAAAATTATTAAAATTTTAAAGATTTTCAAAATTTTACTAATAAATTCTATTTTTATATACTAAGTAATTTTGTTCTACATAGATTATTATATTATATAAGTATATTAAACTTTATATTTTTAAATTTTAAGATAAAGATAGAATTAAAGTTAGAATTAGAAATTTTAAAATTAGAATTAAAAAATTAGTTTAGAGTTAGGATTAGAGTTAGGATTAGAGTTAGGATTAGAGTTAGAGTTAGGGTTAGAGTTAGGGTTAGGGTTAGGGTTAGGGTTAGGGTTAGTGTATAATAGGTTTTAGTAAAAATACTGAAGCGGAGGCGACAGCCGTAGCGAAAGTATATACTTAATTTTTATAATTTTAAAACTAAAATAATTATTTACTATTTAATTATTATTAACTAAAAAACTAATATTTTATTTAAACTTTTATTTTAAAAAATTTAAGAACTAAAAAAAATAAAAAATTAACACCCGGAGCAATGCCCAGGTCTGAAACCTAGTTAACAGAAAATATAGCGAAGATATTGAGATTCTTAAAGATCCCTAATACAACTAATATATCAACTATTGCTAATATATCTAATATATTTAATATATCTAATATAACTAATATATATAATATATTTAATATTTTCAATATAGCAAATATCTAGGAGATATCACTTATACTTGGGATCTCCCGGATAACCAGGATTTCCGTGATCGTGTAACCCCGAGACCGCAGCAATTTTCCGGAGTGGCGATTTCCCCTGCGTCCACATGTGTAATTCTAGTGTAACCCGGGAAATGTGACCAGGCCGGACCCCGCCTGAGGTCATTTGAACAATCCGCAGCATAATTTTCGGGTAGGCCGATCCTTGACTTATAAAGGGATCCCGGCATTATAATCATAATGATTATAACGATTATAATGATTATAATAATTATAATCGTTATACTCGTTATAATGAGTATAATCGTTATAATCATTTTAATGATTATAACGAGTATAACGATTATAATCATTATAATCGTTATAACGATTATAATAATTATAATGATTATAATCTGTACTATGTTTTATTTTATATAAATAAAGGGCATTTCGCCCTCTCTGCTAAACATCGAGCAATTGATCTAAAATATCAGGCATTAAATCTGAAATATCAAGTGTCTGTCCCTAACCTATAAATTCCCAAAACATAAAATCGCTAAAATCACTTACCTGATCTTTTACTAAGTGTAAGGATCTTCGTAATCGCTAAATTGATAAAACTTGTTCCCGTGATAACGTTGCGCTGCCCAAATTACTCTTTGTGATAGAGTAATCGTTGTATTATTTGTTGAGTAAGGAATAACTTGCCGCTTAATCTGGTGCTTGATTATCCTAAAGGTAGAGGATAAGTCAGCTTAAATTTGATTAAGGGAAGTTTAAGAAACTCAATAACGTAAAGAAGGCCTGCCACGTGACTTAGGTCCGGAACAATAACCAAAGTCTTAGAACTCCACTCGACAAATCTGAACGCCTCTCTCGATAGGTTGTTGAGTTACGTGACACGAAGATCACACAATTCGAGCGACTGACTCGCCGTATTCCGAGTGTGACACTAGTTATAATCAAAAAATAAAAATAAACAAAGATAATAATCGTTTCAGTTGCTATTATTTTTCAGATGGATGACAAATTTCAAAATAGAATATATCGACGAGATATGTTTCATTTAACTTTCATAGTTGTACAGTACTACATGCGCATATATGTGCTGAACGATCCGTATTATTTCACCGACAATAATTTAACTGAAAATATAAAACTGGCTAAACTATAACCCTAAATCAGGCTAAAATGTCGGTGAAATGACTCAGTCGGTAAAATAAGTGTCGATGAAATAAGTGCCACCCGTGCTGAACACATATAAATAGCATTTATTCAGTAAATATTTAAAAGTGCATTTATCTACGCATAAACTTTTCGCCAAAAATTTTTGATTCTTTATGATTATTTCTACGTAAATTTATGTTATAAATTAATTTCCATTAAAATTCATTTCTAAAATTAATTTCCATTAAAATTATCTCCTGAATTCATTCATGCTATTCAATTAATAATGAGCTCTCACGAAGATGAATATATACTCACTACAAAAATACTTGAAAATCTTAACAGTACAAATGAATCGTCAAGTCCTTTAGTTGTCTTGTTAGCATGTGGGCCATATAATCCTATTCAGCAAAATGATGTCGAAATGTTTAAAATTGCTAAACAGTATTTAGAAGATTTAGAAGAGGAATATAAATATAAAGTAGTGGCTGGATATATTTCACCATCCTCAGAAATTTATGTTAATAAAAAAATCAAAAATCCGATTCCATTAAAACAAAGAATTGATACGATAAATTCCTTAATAGATAAATCACCTTGGATTGAAATTATGACATGGGAATCTTTACTTCCACAAAATATACGTATTAATGACAATGTTGGTCATCATCAAGTTGTTAAAAGGTTATCTGAATTTTTAAACCAAAAAAATGAAAAGGTCATAAAATCCTTAAATGGACGACAATTAAAAATTATGTATTTGTGTGATTCAGATCAAGTTTTTGAAAATGAAAAAGAGGGTGTTAAACATTTAGAAAACCATGGTCTCGTTATAGTCGAAACATATCCTCCCGATGAAAGTAAGGAACCAAATTGTGTGACAAAACTAAGAGAATTATATTCTGATAAATGGAATAAATTTAAAGATCAAGTAATTTATATAAAATACAATAACAAGGATCATTAGAAAATGATGAAATTAGCTGGGAAGGGATGTGTTAGTGTCAACCGAAATAGTAGAATATATGAAATTAATATTTTAAAGTTTAATAACTTTTATTTTATTTTATATTTAACACCAAATAGTTTATAATTATTTTATATTACATATTTATATTTAGCTTGTTATTTATGCTTCGTAACATGAAGCTTGTTATATTCTAATAAAGAATACATGAATTTAAGCATATATTGATTTATTATGACATCATAACGATGCATAGTATATATCGATATTTCTGATGTAACATTAAATCGATTTTATTATTATTTTATAACCTAAAATTTTGCCCATGAATCCATTTTCAAATAACACAAAATTCCTGAAAAATTTTTGTTTAGGAATCTTTAGGTCATTGCTTTGCCTTAACATGATTTAAAATCATACTATGGTTTTTTTTTTTTTATTTTACGTATTTTACGTCTGTGGCGACAATCTTATATGAGTAAAGAAATTAAACTCAATATTAATACTTTATTATTCTGTAGTAGCTTTAAAAAAAAGTTTTGATAATTTTAACACAATCAAACTTGCTTCGTATTAATTTTAGTATTTAAATATGATGAGTATAGGGGTAAAAAATATTTGTTCCAAAATTATAAAAGATCACAAATTATTAAGATTAATTAATATTAGAAAATTATGTAGTCAAAGGGTTCATTATTATTAATATCTAATACTTGATGTTTAGCAATAATACAATATTAGATATTTTTATCATACATTGCTAATAAATTGCGCCTACTTAGCATCCACTTCGGAAGGTTAAAGGAAAACTTTTTTACAAAATTAATTTTGTTTAACGAAGCAGTATTGATGATTTAAAACAAAATAATAAAAGTTAACAATTACCTGTTTCTAGTTGAAAACTAATGTGTCTACTCATATAGCTTGCTACATCTAAAATGAATATTAGCATATTGATTATTTGAGGAAATAATAATAATAATTAAAGAAATTACCTGATTCAGATATAAAATTAATATCTTTACTAGTATAGGATGCTTCTTTTAATATTTTATAGTCTAAACATGCTTCGGATTGAGCAATGTTAAAATTTTTATTTTCTTCAATGGTTTTAATTTGATACCATATTTCACTATCCTTTTGCATACAGCTACTAATCTTATCAAGTAAATCAATTGCAGTAGGTCTCTCTTCAAAATTTTCGCTCAAGCAACTTTCGATCAATTTAATAATAATTTGTGGAGTGGTATTTTTATCAACTTTGGGGCGAAGATTGTTGCATATTATATCAAATGCAAGTTTATCATCGTGTGGGATATTAAAATACGGTGGATAACCTGATGCAATCTGATACATGATCATTCCAAAAGAATAAATGTCTGCAGCTTTTGTGTATGGGTTTCTGCATAATACTTCTGGAGCAACGAAAGGTAATACACCAAATACACCATCTTTGTTTCCATAGCTAATATTATTGCATAGCCCAAAATCGGTTATGTAAGAAACATTGTTATCAATGACAATATTTCCGCAATGAAAATCTTTATGTTCTAATCCTACTTCATGAATATCATAAAGACCTTTAATCGTTGTGTATAAAAGTTCTAGTTTTCGTTCCCAATTTAAACGTTTAAAATTTTTTATTTTTTTAATTTTTTTTTTTAAAAAAATTTTAAATTTTAATTTTTTTTATTTTTTTTTATTTTTTTTTAAAAAAATTTTAAAATTTAATTTTTTTATTTTTAAAAAAATTTTAAAATTTAATTTTTTTATTTTTTTT